TGGACATCCTGCCCTGTGTCACCCCCTCCCTGGACACCCTGCCCTTGTCACTCTCACACTGGACACCCTGCCCTGTGTCACCCTCACATACCCAACTCTGTCTCCCCCTTACCCTGTGTTGACCCCTCACTGGACACATGTGCCCACACAGGACACTCACAGGACATCCCTGCCCTGTGCCCCCTCTGATCTCTTCACTGTGCCACCCCTTCCCTGGTCCCCCCTCTGCTTGTTGGTCTCACCCTGTAACATTCCTACCTGGTGACACTCACACAATGTCACCTCTGCCTGGTACCAGTCTATGCCACCCCTGACATGCCTGTACCCCATGACCTCCCCTCCTGTGTTACCCCCAGGCTCCCATCACCCCACCCTGAGACACCCCTTCCTCATCCCTGACTACTGCTCATGGCCCATTGCAGAGAGGACAGGCTTCCAGCTCCGGCCGGTGGCAGGTCTGCTGTCTGCCAGGGACTTCCTGGCCAGCCTGGCCTTCCGTGTGTTCCAGTGTACACAGTACATCCGCCATGCGTCCTCGCCCATGCACTCCCCTGAGCCGTGAGTGTCACGGGCGGGGGCATCCTCACACATGCTCCGCCAGCAGCCCAGGGCCTAGACCTGGGGTCCACTCTCACCCATGCACTGCCCTGAGCCATGAGTGTCTGGGGTGGGGCCCCCTCACCCACAGACCCCCCTGAACCCCAGGGTCTGGACCTGGGGTCCACTCTCACCCATGCACTCCCCTGAGCCGTGAGTGTCTGGGGTGGGGCCCCCTCACCCACAGACCTCCCTGAACCCCAGGGTCTGGACCTGGGGTCCGCTCTCACCCATGCACTGCCCTGAGCCATGAGTGTCCAGGGTGGGGGCACCCTCACCCATGCACCCCCCAAGAGCCACAGGGCCTAGACCTGGGGTCCACTCTCGCCCATGTACCCATCTGTGAGAGCCCAGGGCAGAGAGCGCCCTCATCCATGGACCCCCCCCAGCAACGATTGCCTGAGCCTAGGGGGGGTCCATCTTCACCTATGCACCTTCCTGATTCCAGGCTTAAGGGTTTTCCCCTCACCCATGCACCCCCAGCAATGAGTGTCTGAACCCCTGTGCCATGAGTGCTCAGGCTTGGGGGTTCCACCCTGCCTCCCGCAGCCCTGAGTGTCCAGCCTGGGCTTGGAGAGGGGCTCCCTCGCTGGTGCACACCTATGAACCCATAACACCCTAGGGGGCTTGGGGACCCGGTGTGGGGACAGCAGAGGGTACTGCCGCCCTCCAGCCCCTCCCTCCCTCTGCAGGGACTGCTGCCATGAGCTGCTGGGACATGTGCCCATGCTGGCTAACAGGACCTTCGCCCAGTTCTCCCAGGTGCTTCCAGGGTCAGCGGGTTGGCCAGGCGAGAAGGCCTGACGGGCAGGTGGGGACGGGAAGGTGTGGACTCTGGAGCAGGGTCTGTGGGGCCCTGCTTGGAGCAGCTGGTCCAAATAGCTGACCTTTTGGCTAGCAACTCAACGTTTAATGCATGGTGCCACCAAAGACCCTGCTCGTTTAGAGCAGCTCCTCCATGGAAACGTCAGGGACCCTTCTCTCTCGTTGCCTGCAGAGACGGGGCCAGGGGCCAGGGGCCAGGCCGCTGCTGCCACCTGCTGTCGGGTTGGTGGGACAGCAGCATACAGTGCTGGACTTGGGGGTGTAAGGTCACCCGGCAGGTGCTGCTGATGCCCCAGCACCCCATTCATCATACTCCCCCCAGCTGTCCTGGGTCAGCCCCCTCTTCCCCTGCAGGACATAGGCCTCGCTTCCCTGGGAGCATCGGACGAGGAGATAGAAAAGCTGTCCACGGTGAGTCCACCCTGGAGCCGGCGAGGGGTGCACCTCGGGGGCCCGGGCATGATGACTCGCCAGACTGGCTCATTGCTGCCCCGGGGGAGGATGTGGCACACCTTGCTAGTGTCCTGGGTGGCTGTGAGGGCCTGTGGTGCCCCAGCTTGTCCCCGACCACCCACCTCTGTGCTCCCAAGCTGTACTGGTTCACGGTGGAGTTCGGCCTTTGTAAGCAGAATGGTGAGGTGAAGGCCTACGGGGCGGGCCTGCTGTCCTCCTACGGGGAACTGCTGGTGAGAATGTGGCTCTGTGCTCGGCGGGGGCCCTTCCAGGCAGCGGGCAGCTGGGGGGCTGCATCCGTGCTGGAATCACACCCCCCCCAACCCGCGCAGCACTCGCTGTCAGCAGAGCCAGAGGTGCGGGCCTTCGACCCCGAGGCCGCGGCTGTACAGCCCTACCAGGACCAGACCTACCAGCCAGTGTACTTCGTGTCTGAGAGCTTCAGCGACGCCAGGGACAAGCTGAGGTAGAGTCCCTGCCGTCCTGTGGCTGGGGACAGTCACAGTGCAGGACGCTGTTGTGCTCACACCATGTCCCCACTGCCAAAGCCCCAGCAGGACCCGTGAAGAGTCTAGGGGGAGGTGGTCATGGGTGCTGCCAGCTTCCTGGAGATCTGGGGGGACCTCCCTGGTTTTCTGCTTCCTGGGTGGCTGGGGCCTAGTTGGAAGGGGGGAAGGGGAGGAGTGTCCGGGCTTTGGAGGGTAGTTGGGTGGGAAAGTGGGAAACAGGAGTTAGAGGACTCCTGGGTGCAGTGACCAGTGGTGGGCACAAGGGAGAAGAAACACACAGCCCGGCCTCTGACTGGACACAGGCTGGCTGGGCCTGCCGTTGCCACAGCTGACCAGCGGGGTATGTGTATGACTGAAACGTAGCCAAGCCATGCTCATGTCGGGAGGGCTGGACTTCCAGCCCTGGGTTCAGTGACATAAGGGTCATTTCAGGAGGGAGTTGGGGGACTTCCAGGCAGAGCTGGACTTGGGGAAGTGCCCAGAGCCATGGGTGACTGCCCTGCCTCCTCCGTCCTCTCCTGGAGGAGTTGGCTGTCACAGAGGGCAGGATGCTCCTTGGGGAGTTCAGCCACTCCCCCTGACCGCAGTCCCGCCCCCCAGGAGCTACGCCGCTGGCATCCAACGGCCCTTCTCCGTGCGCTTTGACCCCTACACGCAGGCCATCGAGGTGCTGGACAGCCCGCGCTCCATCCAGCGTTCGCTGGAGATCGTCCAGGGCGACCTGCAAGCCCTAGGCCACGCGCTGAGCGCCATACGCTAGGGGGGCGCACAGGAGGGGTTTCCCCGCTGGCCTTCGGCCCTGAACCAGCCCTGGCACACTCGAGGGGCTGACCACGTGCTCGCCCCCTCCCGCTTTCCCGCTCTGTCCAGGTGTGTGCGTGCGTGTGTGTGTGTTAGCACTCACCTGCATGCTTGTGTGCTCTTGTCCAAACCCCCCAGTGTGTGTGTCCCTGCTGCTGGGACAGCCCTTTGCAATCTCAATAAAGGACTCAAACAGCCCTCAGCTGATGGTTTGGGGGTCCATCCCCACGGGGACACATCACAGTCCTGTCTTCCTTCCCCACAAGGACACCCCTCTGTTCACTTCTCCCTCTAGGTGTGGATACCCCACAGTCCCGTCCTACCTCCCCATGTGACACCCCCACAGCCCTGTCCTCCTTCCACGGGGACACAGCCCAGCTCTGACTTGCTTGTGTGGCGTTCCCACCACCTGGTCCCCCTCTCCAGGGAGATGGACACCCACTTAGAGCCCAGTGGCTCCCCAGAGCTTTGAGGGACGTGCAGGACTGCCTTTTTCCACACGATCCGGTGACCTGGAGGCCAGGGTCTGAGGATAGTCAGAGCTGTTCTGGGGTGGGGGGTGCCTCTTTGCCCCCATAGGGGGTTGTTGGGTCTCTGAAGAAGAGCCATGGTCCAGCCCTGCTCCTTTGCCCCATGGGGGGTTGGAGGGTGTCTCTGAAGATGGCCTATGGTCCAGCCCTGCCTCTTTGTCCCCTGGGGTACTGGCAGGAAGGGGGGGGTGTCCCAGCTCTCAGAAGCGCCACAGGAAGGTGAGGAGAGGCAGCCTGTCCCTGTGCATGAGCTCTGGCCTCCTGACCCCACTGAGCAAGCTGCCTGGGAGCAGGACTCCAACACTAGAGGGGGCCATAGGTGCTCCCCAAAATGTATGCTGATGGAGGCAGGGATTTACACTCTGTTGGGCCCTGGGCGCCCCCGCCCCCCAGGCCTCGGTCTTACCTGTGAAGAAGCACACACTGGGTCTCAGGGCCTGGAGGACGCCACCCTCTACCTTCCCGCGATCTTCCTCTGGCTCTGGGAGCAGCCTGTGTGGAGCGGAGCCTTGGCCCTTCTTTGAGGCCTTGCGGGCCCACTCCAGCCAGCCACACCCTGCCCGGCTACTGGTTCCAATCCTGGCACACTCCTACTCATCCATCAAAACCCTCCCGGCAGAACCTCCCTTCCCGTGTGGCCCCTTGTCCTCCCATCCAGCACCTTGTCTGTGCTCGGCCTGGGAGTTCTACCCTTGGGCCATTTCTGCAGAACAGTGACCCCAGTGACCACCCAGGGGAGAGGGTCAGTGCTCAACCTGAGGTTGGTAGCACCTCCGTCCCTCCCTCACACCCATCCCCCCAGCATCCCTTGGCTCCAGCTTGCCCACCTGGGAGGCCCACCCCTCCCTCACGTCCCTTCAGAAGAACCTGCTGTCTGAGGCTGCCGAAGGGCGACAGTGGGGAGCAACAGGAAGAGCAGGGAGGGTAGTGGGGGGCAGAAGGGGACAGTGGGGGGCATCAGAGGGGCAGTGTGGTACCTGCAGGGAGGGTACTGGGGGGCAGAAGGGGGACCATACCAGCTGGTGCCTTGTCGAGGGAGCCCTGAGAGTGGGGAACCAAGGCTTAGGTGAGGTGGGCCTCATGGAGTCAGCCCCGGGCCAGGCCCCACTGATGGGGTGGGCGCAGGGCTGGTTGGAGCCCTGAGTGAAGGGGACAGAGGGGCTGGGGCACAAGCTATCCCAGGACCCCTCTTGATCTGGGGCTCCTCACCCCACTGGAAGGGTCTGGAAGGTTCTGGGTGCCCCCTGGGGTGCTCATCCCGGGGCACCCCAGGGGAGGACAAGGGGCATGCGACTCATGGCAGAAGAGGTCAAAGGTCATAAGCTCACAGATTCCTGGTGGCTACCACCACATGGAGGGGCCAGGGTTGGCTCCCCAAATCTAAAGATGACTGACAGGGGCCAAGAGAAGCGGTCCCTGAGGGACTCTCCCAGCTGACTTGTCCCTTCCTGGACAGCAGCAGGGCCACCTCCCTCACAGCGTGTGTATTAGAAGGGCCTCCCAGCTGCCCGCTGCCACCAACCACTGTGCGTGGGCCCTTGGAGAAGCCTGCAGCTGCCCGCTGACCCCCGGCTCGCTCTCTGACGTGGGAACACGTTGGGTCCTGGTGGGGGTCTGCTCTGTAGACGCGATGCCCCCTGCTGGGACCGGGACACTGTCCAGTCATCAAGTCCCTCCTCAGGACGCTAATGACCCTGTGGCTGAGAGGTGCTGACGCCGAGGGACATGCCCGCAAGTCCAGCTGTAGGGAAATGGTCCAGAAAGTGCCGCCTCAGCCCCTCTGGCCATCTGCCACCCACACCCCCCTAGGCCCTAATGGGCTGGTGTCAGGCTGGGGGCTGGGGAAGTGGGCTTGGGGGGCTTATAAAGCCAGGGGGCCCAGCACCCAAGCTGTCCAGACCACTGCACCTGTGGTTACCAGCGAGCAGGTGTGAGGGGCTCTGGGAGCCGTGCTGGCCCTTTGAGGGGTGGGGGGTGGTGAGAGGTCTCTTTCCTCCCAAGGGTCTTTAGTGGGGGGCAGGGACAAGACCTCTCTTCTGGGGGTCCTGGGATCCAGTACAGGGGTGCTGGGTGCTGAGTGCAGGCTCTCCTTTATTGGGAACGGGACCCCTCCCCGGGGGCCCCAGGGCCGAGTGCTGGGGTTCTTGGGAAGGATGTGAGCCCTGGCCGGCCTCATCCTAGCCCAGGTCACCACCCGCACCATGGCCCTCTGGACACGTCTACTGCCGCTGCTCGCCCTGCTGGCCATCTGGGCACCGTCCCCTGCCCGGGCCTTTGTTAACCAGCACCTGTGTGGGTCCCACCTGGTGGAGGCACTGTACCTGGTGTGCGGGGAACGCGGCTTCTTCTACACCCCCAAGACCCGCCGGGACGTGGAAGACCCACCAGGCAAGCCCCCAGTGCCTCTCTCTCGGAAGGGGGATCTTGGGTCCTGGGAGGAATGGAGATCTTTTCTGACAGGAAATCCAGGTCCCCTGTCAGTGACTGAGTTGGCCGGATGAGGGCAGCGTCTGTGGCTGAGACCACACAGCCTATGGCCGGTGGTACTCAGCCTGTCGAGCTGCTGTCCTTGGGGGCAGGGGGTGCTCAGATCAGACCCCACCCCTCCTTCCTAGGACAGCATCTGTGTGGAGGGCGACTAACTCCCAGGATATCTCAGGTGGTGAGATGAGGAGTGGCAACCAGAGCTCTTGAGGCATGGCCTGGTGTCCAGGGGCGTCCGGGGGCGTCCGGGGGCCCGGTGTCCAGGGGCGGCCAAGTAAAGGCGAGGGCCCAGTACAGGCGCTTGCTTGAGGTCCAGGCTGTGCTGTTGCCCTGGGCTCTAGGACTCACACCTGGACCACTCCCACTCTCATAGAACAGGAAAGGGGGGTGCAGACCCAGTCTCCCCTGGCTGTGGAGTGGGCGGGTGCTGTCCCCTGAAGGCCCTGTCCCCTCAGCTGCAGTGGGGGCACCTCCCCTGACCACCCTGTCCCTCTCTCCCCTCTGGGCCCACAGCGGGGCAGGTGGAGCTGGGCGCAGGCCTGCAGCCCTTCCCGGGGGCAGGATCCCGGCAGGAACGCGGCATCGTGGAGCAATGCTGCACCAGCGTCTGCACCTTGTACCAGCTGGAGAACTACTGCAACTAGAGACGGGCCCCTGCCCTGTGCCCAATAAACCCTAAACCTGCTCTGCGCGTCCTTGTGTCTGTGGTCCATCCCATGGCTGGGGCGGCGGGGCGGACCTCCTGGCCGAGTGGCCTCCAGCTGTCGTTACCTTCTGCAGTGACAGGACTGTAGACTGGAGGTGGTCCCAACTCTGCCCCACCCTGCCTCAGGCCTGCAGAGGGTTGCAGAGTCCCTGGGAGTCCAGGCTGCAGGGACACGTGCCCTCGCTGCTCGACCCTGGGCCCTCAGACCCCAGAGACAGAGAGAGAACATTCTAGAATGTGGTTCCTAGCCCCTCAGGCTCTCTTTTTGACTGAGTCCACTTGGGCTGGGAAGAGCTGTCCAGCTGGTAGCCTGGAAGAGAGGGGCCAGGTGGTCAGGAGCGAGGGCCGAGGTGGGCGATGTTGGACAGCGAGAGGGGGCCGTGGAACCAGTGTCTCGAGGGCTGAGGATGTACTGGACCCAGAGGCAGGGCCAGGCCACTCACATGACCAGACCTGGTAGCTACAAACACTTGTTCAAGGGCTTGGGGTGCCCCCAGCCCTCCTCTTAGCACCCCCTGCAGCTCAGGCCGAGGTGAGTGTAGCCGTGAGCTCTGGGCTTCATATGCTGCGCTGGCTGCAGAAGCCAGTCTGGGCACCTGAGTCCAGGTGGTCTCGGCCACAGGCAGACTGGCCCCGATGTGGGCACAGACCCTGTGCGGGGCCCCGAGGTCCGGGCAGCCCCTCTGCAGTCCAGGGCTCCCGCTCAGCCTTCTCCTCGGCTGCCTTGAACCCCCGCCCTAAAGGAGAGGTCACAGTCCGTGGCAGGGTCAGGGCCAGTCAGGAGGAGAAGTGAGGTGGCCACTGGATCTGAAGAGGAAGGTAGTGGTGGTTAGACCATCTTGGGGAGTCTAGACCAGCAGTCAGCTTGGTGGTGATGCGGCTGGTCCTCAGGTGCTGAGGTACATGTCCATCTAAGCAGGGCCCTGGCGGTGGCCCAAGGAGATCTGACTGCTCTGGGAGAGTGGACAAAGCAGGCCTGCTGGCCAGGAAGACCCCAGGGGCAGGCTCGGGGTGGTGGTGCTCCTGCCCCAACCCTGTGGTGACAAACCAGAAGCTGTGGAAGCCCAGGTCTGCAGGTTCCCACAAGGCCTGCAGATCCCTCTGAGGCCTGAGGTCCTCCCTGCGGCCTGTGGGTTCCCCTGAGGCCTGCAGATTCTCCCCCGAGGTCTGCGGGTCCCCTCTGAGGCCTGCAGGTCTCCCTCAAGGCCTGAGGGTCCCCCCTGAGGCCTGAGGGTTCCCCCGAGGCCTGTGGGTCCCCCCGAGGCCTGCAGATTCTGAGTGGGTGGGCCAGATGAGAACAGCAGGGAGACCAAGCTGCCCGCGATCCCATCTTCCCGCCAGGGAGCCGCATTCACCAACAGTCACATGGCCAATCTGTCCCCTGCCTGTGGCGTTCCACTGTCCTGTCTCTCACTGCTGTGGTGGGACCTGACTTACCTTATCCAGTCCTCACTGGTCCCCAGTTGTGTGGCTCTGGTCTCCCCACTGGGAAGGGCTTTCGAGAAGCCGCCTGGGGGGAGGATATGCATTCAAGGGGTCTGGTGGTCCCTCTATCCTTCTCACAGGGGTAGAGGACAAGGGCCAACATCGGCATGGAGGAGATGAGTCAGATCCAAGGTCTTGACCACAGTACCCTCATGTTGACAGGAACCCTCAAGCCCCCTCGCCCGACTCTCTGTGAACAGGGGGGAGGCTGTCCTGCCCTCGCCCCTCGCCTTTGACTTCAGAGGGTGTGTGTCTGAACCTGGGAGTCTCACTGCTCCCTGACGACTCCAGGCCCCTTGCATGTGTGAATGGCCCCAGGTGGGGTCTGGGCACGCTGCCCCCCCACATACCCTCCACATGTGTCCTCTATCCCCTGACACCTGTTCCTGGGAGGAATCTGGAGTCTCTGTGAGCTTGGCTCTGTCCCCAGGACTGACCCTTCAGTACAGGCCCTACCCAGCTTCAGGAACCCTGTTGCCTCCAGGCAGGCCTCCTAGATTTTGTCCAGGACCAAGCTTTGGCTGTGACCAAGGGTCATGTGCTTTCTCAGCGATGGCATTGACAGCAAATACTGACCATCCTCACTGGCCTCCAGGCCTGAGCAGAGCGAGAAGAGCCTGCAGGGGTGTCTTGTCTGGGAATGGAATTCGTGAGGACCCGGGGCCAGCCCAGCACAGATGGCCCCTCAGTGGACTTCAGGAGACATGATGGCAGTACTTGAGGCCTAACTGTTCCCAGCCAGGCTTTGGGGGGCACCCGTGGGCACCTGGAATCAGCTTTGGGGGCCCATAAGGCCCACCGCCTCCCCAAATCCACTAGGGTCTCTGAGGGAGCCCCGTCCTGCAGGTGGGACTGTCCATGCACAGGTGCGCCAGCAGGGGGGGCCCAAGCCTGGCTTTTGATGCCCGAGTGTGGGCTCCCCACCCCCACCGTGGGCAGTGAGGGGCCCTCCCCTGGGCCGCCCTGTCCAGGCTTGGTCACGAATCCCCCAGCTGCAGGGGGAGGGCGGTGGGAGCGACCTGAGGCCCATCTGAACCCCAGAGTGTGAAGTTTGAGAGATGGTTGATGCTGGAGTTCCACACTGCTGTTCAGCCCAGGCTAGCAGGGCTGGGCGTCCGAGGAGCAGCCGTACACTGCCAGCCCTCCGGCGAGTCACCGTGGGCAAACTGGCTGCTCTTCCAGACCCTTCCCAGGCCCTTGTCCAGCCAGGTCTGTGCACGGGCTGGGGAGCAGGGCCCCTGGCTCTACCACAAGGCTGAGTGGTTGTGTCCTGGAGGGAGCTTTGGGGGGCAGGAGACCCCAGCAGGCACAGGAGGTGCTCACCTGCACCTGTCCATCCCCAGCTCAGAGCTGAGCAGAAAGAGGTCATTGCAAAAAGAATGTCGGGGTTCAGGGGTGAGGCACTGGACAGAGCTGTGCACCCCGTCTCCTCCCTTCCCCTTTTCTCTCTCCAGAGGTTGGGAGAGCCCTGAAGGCCACCCGAAGGCCTGGGTGAGGAAGATGGTCCTGAGCACACTGAGCCCCCTGGCATGTCCACAGGCTGGCCAGAGCTAGCAGCCCCTCAGTGCCTGTCTCCCTGAGGTCCCCTGGGGTCAAGGTTGCAGGGTGAGGGGATGTGGCTGAATCCCTGGCCTCCTCCAGGACCCTGTGAATGGGGAAGGGCCTTTGCTCTTGGCCGAAGCTGGACCCCCTCCTGCCCCAGCTGGACAGGCTGCTGAGTCTGCAGAACCTTTGGGGGCAGGTCGGTGGTGGCCCTGCATTCCTTCACTCTGACCCTGGCCCGCCTGCATCTGTGTTTTGGGAAAACACAGTGGAAGCCACCACGCTGAGCCTCGAAGCCTTTGTTTTTCAAAGTCCAGCCTCCCTTCAGAACTTGATCCCAGTCCAGCCTGTCCTTCCTACATCTCTGGGGGCCAGACACTGCCCCCAACCACTGGCCTCTCCCTGGACTTGCTGTGGGATCTCAGTTTCTCTCCCTCTTTGGGCTCCAGACCTGAGGAACTCAGAGGGTCAGTGCAGGTGGCTCAGTGGGTGGCATCATCCTGGGGACCCCAAGTCCTGGCATCCTGCCATGTGCTACACAGGGGTCCTTAGTGCCTGTGGGGCTCCCTGGCCCAGGCCCCCCTGTGGGAAAGGTGTAGTGAAAGTCCAGGCACTGGTAGAGAAAAGACAAGAAACAGAAGCAAGAGGAAGGGGTTGCTGGGGTGTCTTGGGAGCCCCACAAGCCCAAGGGGATGCTGGGGTGGTCTGAGAGCCCCTCAGGTCACAGCCTCGGAGCTTGGAACCAACTGATTTCTAAATGGCACCTCAGAGAGAGGCAGGCAGGGGGCTTCCTGGAGGAGGCAGCCATGCTTGACTCCACTTACACCGCAGGGCTGCGTCCTCGTGGGGCACAGTGGATGCCCCCCTCCAGCCTCCCTCATCATGGGCTTCCTGGTGCTGCCTGTCCCTTGAATGAAGAGTGGACATCTGTCCAGATGGACGCAGACACAGCAGACCTCAACTTTCCCTGGCACATGCTCAAAGTGCCCACCCCCCGGCTGACCACATGACCTGGAGAGCATTGGGTCTCCACTCTCTCGTCCACCAAGTGAGAATCAAGGCAGACCCTTGACGCTAGCAAGATGGAAGTTGTTGAAAGTGAACTTGAACTCGTGAAGACAATGAACCGGGCATCAAGGCTGAGATGATGGGCACTCACACTGTGAAGCAGACAATGACACGACCCACCATGCTGGCAGCCCAGAGGCTAAGGAGCCACTCTGCAATACCAAAGGCATGGGGTTCGAATCCACCAGCTGCTCTGCGGGAGAAGGATGGGCAGTCTCCTCCTGTGGGATTTACTGTCTCTGAAGCCTGCTGCAGGCTCAGCTATGGGTTGGTTCGGATCCCACAGCATGTGACAACAAAAAAGGCGGCAAGTTGTAGAAGAATGGTGCTACGTTCGTGATCAAGAACATTTCAAGATCCTTGCTGACGTATAATGCTTTCAGGAGGCAGAGAAGATATGTACAAGGACGTTGGAAGCAGGAGTGGCATCCACGTCCTAAACAACACACCTCGGGGAAACGCTGGACTTTAATAAACGTCCATAGTTGTAGAGAGGCTTCAGGCCTTTTGTTTGTATGGTCGTTGTGAGTCTGCTTGACTCGAAGGCCATCATCATCATCAACAACAAGGAAGAAGAATGTAACTATTACACTATTCTTCAAATTTACGTACCAACCTCTAAACTCACACACGAAGAAACTCAGTGTTCCCACCAACTTCCACAGATCTGAAATTGATAAAAACCCAGGATGTTAATAGTGATTGGATTGGGAAAGTTAAAGTTAAAGGAGGATTGGTAATTGGAAAATGCAGGATTGGCAAAAAAAAAAATAAATAAATAAAAATGGAACTGTGTACAAGAAATTTTTTTCATGGCAAGTGCCTTTTTAAAAGCCAAGAATG